AGATCTCTGTCCAGAAGAGCGCAGTCCTAGGAACAGCTAAGGTACTGCGCAGGACCCTCAAGCTCCCAGGACTCTGGTAGAGGACCCGAGCTTGAAGGATTGACCGCCCACAGGGGACGAGTGGGGAATTTAAAAAAAAAAAAAAAATTTCTTACTCTAACCTCACTGTAGTTCTCACACATATTTTTGGTGATATTTCGGAAAATAAATGAAAAACTAGAAAGTACAGTAACAAAAATGTGTTTGTTTTGTAGGCACGTTTGTGCTGGTCGATTTGGCATGACAGCGGTGTCTGCAGGGCAAACGGTTTGGGAGAAAACCAGCCTAAAGGAAGGAGAGTCACAGCAGAAAAGAGAAAGACCGGTCTCTTTTACGTGGTCTTGGTCTTGTCTTGGTCTTGGATCCCTTGGTCTTGTCTTGGTCTCGCTGTCTCCGCCTTGCTGTCTCAGATCGACATAGTGGTCGGGAGATTTGGACTCAACAGTATACATGACACAGAACGTAACGTTTGATAATGTGTCATGCAAAAGCATCAGCTCTAAGAGCCGTGCTTAGAGAGTGCTTTGTAGTGAATCAGAAGAGTCGACTCCCATTGAACGAGAGCCGGTTCCTCACTTAATTTCCTTTCACTGGTCAGCTCTCACACAGTGGCTCAGCTATGCTCCAATCCCTCCATATTGTGGCCAATCACATGTGAGGATATAGGATAAAATCATTATGTGACAAACAGAGAGGGTGAGAGACGCGACAGTCAAGTGGAGCGTGCGTCTGTCCTCTCAGTAAGTGAGTGAGACAGTAGACAGCGGTGAGGAGGGCTGTGTGAGTGCATCGCAAAAACACATAAATATGTCTGACACCCGTAAATGAAGCAGCATCTGGCTGCAGTTTAAAGACTTTTTGTCTCGGTCTTGGTCTCGTCTCGACTTTTAGAGCATCCTCACACAGAACATGACATCGTGGTTTGGGAACAGCTGTGTGAAGGACCAAAAAGCTCTCCAGAGAGTGATCCGTACAGCAGAACGCTGCTGCAGGATTGCTCTCCCCCTGCTTCAGGACACCTACACCAGGAGATGCCGGACTAGAGCAGCGCAGATACTGAAGGACCCTTCCCATCCTGGCAACAAACTGTTCCAACTTCTGCAATCTGGTAGAAGGTTCCGCATCATCCGGGCAAGGACAGAGAGACTCAAGAGGAGCTTCTATCCCCAAGCCATGCGTGCCCTAAACACACACACACCCGCCCTCTCACATCATCTATAATTGACTGAGACAGGACTCTCTTCCAGACACTCTAAACCCAGGCACAATGTACATTTCAAATTCCTTTAATTTTAAATATGTTTATATTGTCTATTCTGTAAAATAGTCAGATTTCTATTCTTATTAATGTACAGAATTCACCTGCTTGCTGCTACTACTGCACATTCACTCAATGTATATACTACATATATATAATGTTCTTCCTCTACCCCCCTCCCCCCACCCCCACCCCCGGAGCCAACTAGACCCGGAGGCGGGACCAATGGGGAAGCTTGTGCAGCACTCCACCTTTGATAGATAAAACCGTCCTATTCCAGAAAGGAGGTCTAGCTAACATCTCTGAGTTTGTTAAAATTGAGACGGTGGAAACTCAGGTTTCTTGTTTCAGAAAGAGAGTTCACTTCAACTCTTAGTGAGTTACCAGGATAACAGACTCCATTTGGTTGTCAATACATAAGGACAGCGATTACATCACAGATTTATTATCAGCTCAGAATAAAATCTAAAAGACTCCATCTGATGTTGTCCCTTTGTACCGAAAATATTTACTGTATGTTACACATTGATCAATTGTTTATCTTATTATAATAAGTTACACTGACCTAAAAATGTCTGTCACAATTGGATCTTGGAGATGATGACTTTAAGAGTCTAACATTAAACAAAAACTAATGTTTTAAATGCAGCCTGCAGACAATCTGTGTTCCCAAAATTTCACTTTGAAATGTGTTCACAGATTTAGGTACAGTATTTGAATTTTAGAGTCTGAGCTTTGAGATATTTTTCACTGAAAATCATTGAAATCAGTCTGGGTGGTTCAAACCAGAACCAGATCAACTTGACGAAATCATAGGGTCTATAACAGATCAGTAAACTGTCTGGATCCAAAGTGGATCTTATTTTAAATCACAGATTTAGACCGCATCAATCCCAGATCAATTAGACTCCAGCCATTCCTCAGCTGATCACATCTGGATCTATTCATAGAAGGTTTTTTTTATGTTTATGATCTGTATTCCTATTTAAAATGTCTTGAAATATCTTGAAATCTTGAAATATCCAACTATACCATAAATTGAAATGCTCTGCTCTTTACCCGTTGCCATGGTGAATCCTAGTATCGGTTTTCCATGGAGAATGACTTTCTTTCACTCCTCATGCACTAGCTTAAATCAGCTTGAACACACTCTGAGTTTGCTGTTCTAGAACAGCAGATCAGAGTATGTTCAAATAACTCAGGCTACGTCCACACGTACACGGGTATTTTTGAAAACGGAGATTTTCCGTTTTTGTTTTAAAAAAGAATCCCGTCCACACGTAAAGGCAGAAATGAAGGAAAACGCTGCTAGGAACATGCCAAAGCAACAGGTGGCGATATATTGCTAACCGTGCAGAAATGTTGGCCAATCAGAAGTCTAGAAGCCTCGGTGGGAAAAAGTAAACAAAGCTGGGGCATAGAAGCAGAACCCAGTCATATGTGTGGAGGGACAGTAACTGTGTGTGTATATAAGCATTTAAACACTGCAGAGAGTACAATTAACAGTAACAGTATTGTAGAAAATCATTTCACCGAAACAATAATGTGGCGCACAGTGTGACGTCAAAAAATGCGCACACCTTTGACGCTGCATTTTCTCCGTTTTTCTCGTCCACACGCAAAATGCAAAAATTGAGTTTTCAAAAATATCCACCCTGGCCGGAGTTTTTAAAAATCTCCGTTTTCAGTGACCAAAAATGCCGTTTACGTGTGGACGAAAGGTGCAAATGCATAGAAAAATCTGCGTTTTCAAAAATACCCGGGTACATGTGGACGTAACCTCAGAGTTGTCAATCTCACAGTTTATCAACTAAGAGTTTGCTTTCAAACTCAGAGTTTGATGAACATGCTTTCTGGAATAGCCCCCTACTATTAATGTAATAGGCATTATGAAAAGAAATACTGTGACCCTGAATTGGGTCACAGTTGGGATAGATCCTATCCCAGCTGTTATGGGGTGAAATTTAAGATACACCCTCAAAGGTCACCAGTATTTCACAGGCCTAAGGCCATGTCCACACTAATACGTTTTCGTTTGAAAACGCATATTTTTCTCTCTGTTTTGTCCTTCCGTGCACACTGAGATGGCTGCTTTGGTCAAGGAAAACTGATCTTTTTGAAATTGTAGATGAATTTAAAAACACTGTTTTCACACTGCAGTGTGGATTGCGAAAACGGAGGCTTTTGAAAACGATGACGCATTTTAGTCATATGATGCAGTCATGTAACCAATCAACTAAGATGGTGTATGGCATTGTACAGCAGTTTTGTTTTTCCCCCATTTTTCATAGCGCTATTAAAGATTAATATAAGTTTGTACATGCTCCACATTTTCACGTTTTTCTTCAAAGAAGATGGAATGTTAATTTCGGCATATTTGTTGTGGTACGTCTCCCAGTTTATATTCACGCTTGCTTTTCCAACTTTGTACTCTTGTGTTACTCGCAGCAACAATTCCACCTCATTGTTAGTCCATTTAAAAAACTTGGTGTTTTTCCTCGACATTTTGCCATGATGTTTCAAAGAGCTGGAAAGTAAATAAATGCAAGACGGAAATGACGCAGATCGAATCGTCTTACGTTTCATGGATGCACAGTACAGGAACATAAGCGTTTAAATAAAATTATCCATATATACAAAACAAAATGTTTTAATGAATTCTATTCTGTTATATTAGCTTTAGGTTTTCTATAAAAATTAAAAGAAACAGTAAAATGATAAATGATCCCAGAGGAAGTTAAGCCCCTCCATGAAGCAAAGAGGTCTTTGAGGTTATTAAGGACTATGATAAGGAATCAAACTGATTTTACATCAGGTTTGTATATTAGTAATGCAGAAATTTACATTTGCTTGCTCACCCCCAATCTCCACCTCACCTGATGTTCATGTGTCTGTGTGTGTTGGATAGTAGTGTTGTATGATCTGACCAAGCAGTGCATGTATGCGTGCATGAATGGATAAATGTGGATTGTAGTGTAAAAATACAAGCTATATCAATGCTAGTCATTTATCAATTCTTGTAATCCCACAGTAGTGTTTAAGAGGCAATGTATAGTTTATGTTTAGAAATATGCAAATGGGTATGTTTTAATAACAAGTCAAGGTGCAGTATTAGCAACATGGACGTTTGAAGACAATTTGTACATTTCGTGAACAAATCAAGTTGCATTTTAACCACATATCAGGAAAAGTTATACATAAGGTAGCACATGTACAAAATATCCTTAACAATCAAGTTTATTGCTAACACAGTAACTAAAAATATTTAAATCAAGCGATGGAAATACATATTTAGGGGAAAAAAACCTCCTAATAAATGATTAAGTAAATCTATCTCTCTAATATCTATCATTTCTCTCAGGAAATGCTATGTTTATTATACACTATATAATGCACTGCAAGCCATATAATTGATCCCGTACCCTGCAATGAAAACTGTATAGCTGAGGTATTGCAGTAAGTTTTTAGTATCCCCACTAATGGGTTAAAGCTGCATGAAAAATATGCAGGCTGAGGCTTAGCTTTTTGTGCGATAGGAACACAAAACCCAGTTTTACTTAACTCCTGCACTAATACTCATTGTACAGACCTGGTAACAGGTATTTTTTTTCAACAGTTAAATTCTTTGATGCCCACATGCACAGACAGCGTGTGTTCTGCATTCTTGGTTAGCATTGAACTGATGAGAAATGTGTGAGTTCAGGTACTCAGTTGAAGGTTAGGTTTCGGACTCCTGACAGGGTGCCGACTGGAGCGCTCTTGCCTTTCAGAAGGGTGAGGGACATGATGAAGAAGCATAGGCACATGACACCCAGAATGATCATGCCTGAGATGAGTGCGATGGTCATTGTATTTGTGTGAAACACTGGAGCTTTAAGATGGGCTAAGCAGCACAAACACAAAGAAACATTCCAAAATGTAAAAATGTCTTTCACATTCTCAATGCTTTTTCTTAAGTTCATGCAAAATGCCAAATAGCAGTGAGTGTTAAAACACTAATACCTTTTTTGCCATTCCAATGAGAAATGACACAACTTTTAATGTCAGATTGAGACATCCCGGCTCAGTATTTGATTTTCAATAACAACTAAAGCAATATACTGGCTGAACAATAAAATGAATCCTGAGGAATATAGTATGCGCAGGCATTGCATAGCCATATAGACTGACTTCTAACAGACCAAAATTTTTGAATGTTCAAAATTTTTGAACATTGATGATCATTGCCGGCCGTAACTCACATAGTGTGTCATATATTGCTGCATATATTGCTATGTTCCTGTCTAGATTATTGTGGAATCATCCAGTTAAGGAAATCCCAAAGGTTGATTCTGTTCAGCTGGACATAGTATTTTCAGTTGGGGAAACATTTCATCACTCATCCAGACTTCTTCAGTCTCAGCTGGCTGCAGGTTTCACCAGCTCATAATGCATTTGTAGCATTGTAAAATGGTAAAAGATGTACCATACAATGCTGTGATTCCAAACATGCTGGAAATCTTCTAATGGTACTCATGGCCAGCGATCAAGGGTCATGACTACGGATGGGTATTGATAAGATTTTCACGATTCCGATTCCATTTTCGATTCTGTTTAACGATTTGATTCTTTATCGATTCTCTTATTGATTCTTTTTTAGAAAGGAGAACACTAAGGTCGAATAGCTTAGAACTTTGTTTTATAGCTTCTCTTTGAACGAGATAGAAATTTAGTTGTAACATGGCCTTACAAACCCAACAGTGAGATCTTAAGAGATCCAGCCTATGGCTCTTCCATGGGGTGTCACAGGGTCCCCAGGAAAAAAAATTGTAAATGTAAAATAATAAAATAAATATTCTTCTGTAGCAATAACAAAGTATAACATCAATTATTCTGTAGCAATTACACAAGAATATCCAGTAATGTTCCTGCCTACAATTAAACACATTCACTTACCATCTGCTGTGGCAAATGGGTGCAAGCCTTTTACCACAAACTTAGTCACTGCGCGGTGACATTCGTCTATCCTGGCCTGAAAGGAGACGCTACCGGTAGACTGCAGTGAGAACTGCCAGCGAGCACCAGCCAGACTCTGTCTGTCTCTCTCATCATCACCTAAATGCACAGTAATGGCAGGTTTTGTAATAAGGCAGATCGCACTAACATAATATGCACTGTTAGTTGCTTATTTACCTGCCGCATTAACGGGAAAGGACGTGCAAACGTTACCGCTGCTGCTGGGTTGGATTTCACGAGTCCGGAGCGGAATTAAAAACACGACATTCATTTAAGGTCATCGTGTGTTTTGTGAGCAAATGCTTTTGCATATTCGTAGTGTTTCCTCCCTTAAATGAAATGTCTACTTTGCAAGTATTGCAAGTTGCCCTGTTGTCATCCGTTCTCGTAAAGTATAATCAAACTTTTGAGCATTTGAGCCGCCATGTTTCCTGCCAGGTAAATGACGCTCCGCAACGTGGTGACGTCATTCGGGGCAACTGGAATTGATAAGGGAATCGTTTGCAAAATGGCAAACAATTCCAAGGAATTGAAACAGTGGGAACCGGTTCTCAACAAGAACCGGTTTTCGATACCCATCCCTAGTCATGACAATTTGCATGTTAATGATTATAAAATTGATATTACAGCCCATTGTTAGTTAGTAGTGCGTTAGTTAGTCCTTTTTATAAGGTAGGAAAATCTGCAGTCAGCTATGACTAAAGAAGTCACTTGGATGAGTGAAAATGTTTCTCCCAGTGAAAACACAAATATCTTATAACCTTTAAAAGTAGAACAACACACAAAAGCATCATACCACTTATTGAACAGAATGACAAGACTTACCCAGCTGAGAATTATTGGCTGGTATTTCATCTGTGAAAAACAAAGACATGGCATTTCAGCACACTGTAATCCATATGGTATATAGTTTCTTTCATTCGCGTGTAATTCGCGTACAATAGACAAGGATGCCTTGTCTAACGTACTGTTTTGAAAATCCTAGGTCACCCAGACAAGCTTGCAACTTTAGTCAACATTTAGGTGTCAAATCTTGGATTTTGACATACATTAGTGTCTTGTAATACATTGGATAATCAGTAAAAATTATTCAGCTGTGGAAATGTTAGGCGAGAGTGTTATTAAACTATACCACTCCGAGTTATGATAGGCCCAGCAGTCAGGATGGCGTTTCCAGATGCAGCATTTGATCCCTTTCCCTCAGAGACATCTCTCTTTTTCCTGCTGCCACAGATCTATGAAAATATTACACAGAAAGAATGAGTCCTCTCTCATGTGGTGTATGTTCTTATGATGAGGAATTCAGGACACAGACTACTAATATAACCCATCGATGTTGCCAAGATATGTGTCCAATTTGATATCGGAGGAATATCTAACCCCTTATTCTGCAATGAGGGAAATAATGATTTGATCCCCTTTGCTCAAATGAACAGTCTCTAATATTTTTGGTAGTTTTATTATTGTATAATGGGGAGACACAGAACTAATCAATCATTCAGTTACAACTACTGTTGATCTCAGCTTGTCATCTGTATAAAGTAGACCTGTTTTCTTCCACTCTAGTCGCTCCACAATGCTCCATGATGATTCATGGTGAAACATGAAATCTAGATGCTCAGGTGTCTTTCAAGACATAGTACTGTCTGAAAAATGAGGAATGTAGGCTAGTAACCTGTTATATCTTGTAACTGCTGTGCCCTCACCACTGTTCAATAACGGTACTGCTGTCTGTTAGACTCTATGGAAGGACCATTTGGAAATCTCAGTCTGTTTGGAAAGTCAGACAGTCACTTAGTCTGAAGAAATATGAATGTAATCTGGTCAACTAATTGCTTCTATGAGCAACTCTTTAGTGACAGTGGGAAGGAAAAACTCTCTTTTAATAGGAAGAAAGTTCCAGCAGAACCAGGCTCAGGGAGGGGCGGTCATCTGCTGCGATTGGTTGCGGTGAGAAGAGGTGGACATTCATCTAACACTGTATACTGAAGCATCAGATTAGCTCCAGCAAATTTATTACAATGAACTTTGCTTTGTAACGAATCCTTTATCACATACAGATGCTTTACGAAATGCCCATTGTGATTACAAGGAATGTTTCTATGAGCACCTAACTATACTTGAAGAACTGAATTTATGAATGCTGAAGTGAAGCTGATGTTTATATTCAAGAAATAAACTATTTCTATAATTAATATTAAATTAGATGCAATGATGCAGTATATGCTTTGTAGGAAAACATAATGGAACTAGTATTTATTAATTCAAATAAACGTATACTTACCCTTTGAATGTAGAGTGAATATAAAAAACTATGAGAGGTATAAACTGTAATGGAAAAGAATGTACAGTAGAAGTATTTCCCAATTGTTTTTAAGAATTTGTAAATGAGCTTACGTATTTTAACCTAAGTAGTAATAATAATAATAATAATAATAATAATAATAATAATAATGTCAATGGAGTTTTCCATTTTGAAATGAAGGTGACTCTAACAAGATTATTGTGTTATATTTTATCTCAAGATTTTTTTTTATGTGTGAGTGTGTCAGTATCCAATCTCACTGGCATCAGCATTGCACAATCATCTGCTCGGCACAGCTTGGTGACACAGTGTAGGAAGACAGTGGACATCTTCTGGTTCTTGTGCTTTACAAAGCGGAATACTTCAAAGGCAAAACGACCCATCTGGCTCTTCCCATTCTCAAACACTGTGGTCTGGGGGTCTTTTTCACAACTAGTTCAGAAAAGCAACATTAGAGAAGACTATTAAAACATTGTCAAGGATAGTCGGAGTCAGAGTTTTACACAATCATGGGCCTGTTATTGTACTGGAGTTACCTAAAGAAAAGATCGTAACGCAGGTCATCATTAGGATTTCCAGAAGGTGTGGTGTAACAGTAGTCCATTAGAATGTTCCATCTAATTTGCACAAAAATGTGATTAAAAGCAGAACAAAGGAACAGAACATGGTACAACCTGTTTTAGGATAACTCTGTTTCAGTATGCAGCCTTATGTGGAAATGGTGCCTCCAGAGCAAAGTTGTGAAAAAAAAACATTTTTGGATAATAATGGATACTAAAACCCATTATTGAATTGGATGCTTATTTATAACAGTAGCAATACCAATAGTGCCTTCTTTACCTCCTCTAGGTGTGACACAACTTCATAGAGCAACATTGCAGATGGGCATTCCAACAACACAGCACTAAAATACTAAACAGTTATGGTAACTGTTAACTTGGCCAGTGGATACATTAATGTTCTCAGTTTAACTTAAGTTATTATTCAGATAGCAACTAATGTTATTGGTCCTACCCATCAGTAACGTTAATAGACAGTGCTGATTTTGCAGTCTAACAAAAAAGAAGTGTCTAAAAAGTGCTACGTTCTTCTTAAAGCCTCAGACTGAAACTGGCTAAACCCACCTGCGAACTAGATCAATATCCCAGAAGGGTCATTTAATTCATGATAAAGTCCATTTAAAAATTGTTTATGTATTTTTTAGTATTGTATAAAAACAAACAATCAAGCAAAAAAAAAAAAAGAAACTCCCTCTCACCCCTGGTGCATACTTGCCAAACTTGAGACCTCAGAAAGTGGTATACATATACATTTATATACAAAAAACTGGTACTTTACAGTGTTAATTTATCGGATAAAAGAGCTCTCTCGGTGGTGTGAAACTCTGCCGTCTACTCCTTGCTATCTAAAATAAACCAGACGCTGGCATAAATTCTCAACCATCTCACACTTCTGTTTATTACGTTTTCTGTTTGACGTTTATTCAGCTGTCTAAAAACCCCGGAGGAACCCTCCTGAGGGATTAATCTAATCTAATCTAATCTAATCTAATCTAATCTAATCTAATCTAATCTAATCTGATCTAATCTAATAATTTAAATCTCAGCCGAACTGATTCAATTTTGTTGTCCGGGTGGAGAAATTCAGGAGAATGGTTGCTCGGGAGATTTTCGGAAGGGTCACTGAAATTCGGGATTCTCCCGGAAAAAATCGGGATGTGGGTGGATTGTATTTATTACAAAGTTTTAGTACAAAAGCTCTTCAGGTCTCTGCACACTGGTAGGACAGAAAGAAGAAGAAGAACAACAACAACAATCAAATATGCCCTTTTATTCCTTTGCTCTGAGCTGATTCAGCTAATTGCAGCGCAAGTTAAATAATTTCTTGTGCAGGAGGAAGAAAATTGTGGTTTGGTCTATAGCTAAATTGTGGACACTATTTATTTACTGATTGCAATGGTACAAAAGCACATGGTGAAATGCAAACTGTGTCCAGGAGAAAAATATGATTCAGTATAAATAAACCCTTGTTTACAAGCACAAAAGTAGGACATTTCTGTAGTTGGTCACCTGGTTTGCATACATCAAAGGAGGGATTGTGGCCTATTCCTCTATGCAGAAACTTGCACATGTCCTTAGGTTACTTGGTTGCCTCTTGGCAACTCAAAGCTTCAACTTCCTCAGCTGCTTCCTTTTTTCCCTTCCTTTGTTGTCATGATTCTGTGTTTTTAGTCATTGTCATGCTGGAAGACTCATCCATGGTAAATTGTAAATGGCCTGTATTTATATAGCGCTTTACTAGTCCCTGAGGTCCCCAACGCGCTTTACATATCCAGTCATCCACCCATTCACACACTGGTGATGGCAAGCTACACTGTAGCCACAGCCACCCTGGGGCACACTGACAGAGGCGAGGCTGCCGGACACTGGGCCCTCTGACCACCACCAGTAGGCAACAGGTGAAGTGTCTTGCCCAAGGACACAACGACCGAGACTGTCCAAGCCGGGGCTCGAACCAGCAACCTTCCGATTACAAGGCAAACTCCCAACTCTTGAGCCACGATCGCCCCGTGATCCATGATTCATTTTTAGTGTTCTGGTTGAGGGAAGGACGCTCTCATCCAAAATTTTACAGCCTATTGGCTTGTTAATGTAGTGAAGTCATCCATTAGCATAAAAACAGCTCCACAGCATGACTACCAGATGATCCGACGCGATGTCTATGCCTGTCCTGTAGCTTGACTGTACCTTCTTTTGGTGATATTTAGTATTTTGCTTCCTCCAAACACGGTGTGACAAGTTGATGCCAAAGAGCTTGAGTTTGGTTTCATCCTACCACAGCACTTTGTCCTAAGTCTTCTCTGAAACATTTAGATGTTCAAGGCTGTCTTGAGCAGGGTGAGCAGGTGTAGGCAATGCCAGACCTGTCCAATATAGTGCAGTGTGTTACCAATTATGTTTTTGGTGACTGTGGTTCCAGCTGCCTTCACATCATTAACAAGTTCATAGTTTTGGGCTAATGTCCCATCTTTCTCATGATCCTCCTCACCCCATGAGACAACAACTTGTATGGAGCTCCAGATAGAGGGTGATTGATTCCATATCTAATTAACTGCACCAGCTGTTGTCACCTTCTTATCTAACTTCTTGCTGATGGTCATTTGAGCCACATGCAGATCTACAGTCTTGCTCATGACAAACTCTGACAGCTCTTTGGTCTTCTCCATGGTAGTGGAAGAAGTTGGAATTAAAGATTTTTTATTCTGTGGGCAAGTGTGCTTTATAAACATAATAAGCTGACTATCTGTAATTGATTGGTGGTCTGTATCTGTTTCTGAAACTGATTAATTGATTGTAATCTAATCTCTGGGAGCCAGAATTTTATCTAGATTGTAGGGATTCAAATGCATACTTAACTCAATTATATGAAAATCCATTTATAATTTTATGTAATGTGGGGATTTTTTTCTGGATTTTTGGTTAAAATTGTGTCTCGCTTCATTGAACTTAAACTATAAACAGTGTTGGGAAGGTTACTTTTATCATGTATTCCACTACAGATTACAGAATACATGCCCCAAAATGTATTTTGTAATGTATTCTGTTATGTTACTCAATGAAAGTAATGTATTCTGAATACTTTGGAGTACTTAATATATTATCATGCTTTTTACAACTACATGAATGTACTATTGCTTTGTGATTTAATAACTATTACTGAAGGTTACTCACCATAACAGTACCAACTAGATTTTTAAATCTTAATATAAAATGAGTAACAGTAGGATGGACATTAGATAAGGCTGCACTTTTTGCACCAATCTCATATAGGAAACTATTCTGTGTGTATCTCCAAAAGTTGGTTCTCTTAATCTGGACGTAGCTTTTAAAGTGGGAGAAACGTTTTGTCACTCATCCAAGTGACTTCTTCAGTCTCAGATGACTGCAGGTTTCCCCAATCTTATAAACCAGGGATAGGCAACCTTTCTGATGATGAGTGCCATCTAAAATTTCCTCAGAAGTCAATGTGCCATTTGATTGCATTAGCAATAAATTTAATAACGCTCTATATTAACAGTTACACACTACAAAAAAAAAAACTTTATAGAATTATATTTGTTCACAGATGTTTGCAGCTATCAGCGAATAGTTATCAGCTATTTTGAAACAAAAAAGAAACTTTTTATCCATAACAAGAACTTCATAACAGCAAATGAACTGTACAACAGAAAGTGCAAATGCTATTTGTGGTCTCCTCACAACAATGATAAGAAAAATAAACTGGGCCAATATGGCATGTTTGTTAATACAGGGATACACATGTTAATGTGATCTCTGGTCTCCCACTCAGAGACACAGGTCTCCGAGTGTCCAGCATTCAGACAACTACCTGAGGACACTCTTCGTGTAGAGAAAATCTGCTCACACAGATATGTAGAACCAATTACTGTCAAGGCCTCTGCAATGTTCTGAAGACAGTTAACCTTGTCAGGTAGTGATGTCCAGCAGGTGAAAATGCAAGCTCCATGAACACGCACAGCTGTGGATTCCAGCTGCGTTCGTAGTTCTGCAAACTTTTCTGCAAAGAATAAACTCCACCTAAACTTGGTTTATATCTGACCCAGATAGACTGCAGTTCATAACTTCTTAGTGTCAGTCCAAGTGTCAGTTCACCTGACACTTGGACACAGCGGCCGCCTCGGGTCTCTCCTTCTCCTGCCTCCCCTTTCCACCTGCTGGCCTCTGTGAAAGCTCCGCCATAGCCACCACCAAACAACTGACTTATTTTTACACATCGGCCTCCATCTGGCCAATCCACCACCTTTCATTGTTTATACCGTTACAAAAAAGAAAAAAACCTTCGGCCCATAGAAACTGATGTTTCTATGTTACACACAACGCGCTCTGTTTAGACCCAGACCAAACAGTATTGTTTGACTGATGGCCCTGGTCTTTAAGTTTGACGTCACTAGCCTTGTCTGGGCTCAACTCCAGTGTGGGTCCATAAATCAAACAATCACTGTGGCATCACCGAGAGTTGAAAAACTGTCTTAAGTCTTTCATCTGTAATAAAATGATCAGTGTTCTGCTCTACCAGGTGTAACAACTCATTTTAACATCCAGGCATCCATGAAAACGGAATTTATGACATTTAACGGAGTTAGAAATTAGCAGGAAGTTAGCTCACTAGCTTCCTTCTAAATATTAATAATGCCAGTAATATAGCATGTCCTGACTGAGGGATTTTGGAAACAAATTCAAACGTACAGCTCCGACATAAATGAAGACAGAAAACTAAACAGCATTGACGTTTGTAGGGTTACTTAAGTTTGGCTAGCTGGTATATAACGATGTGCTACGTGACCGCTAGCGACACGGCTATATGAGCATAATATAAACACGCTTTTTTCAACTCAATAAAAGTTAACGTGAGGATTCTTGGTGGTCAGGAACAAATGTAATCGCATGGCAGGATGCTGTAAACAGACCAAACTTCAGCCAGGAGAACAACTGAGATAATCCATCCACAATACCAGGTTAGTCATTCATATACTGCTGTATGGGCTGGGCTGTACTTACATCGTAAGGTTTTAAAAACTGAGCTTTAAAAAGATTAGTGTTAATAAAAGCCGAGAGAGGCTGACAGTGATCACTGATTGATCACCCAGTTTTGTTTTAAGTTATAAAGTTATTTTGTTATTTTCATATGGCTTAATAATTATCCTTATTGCTGTTTAAGAGAGGAGTGGTGCTTCAAAGGATAGTTGCAGATTTCTGTCAGAATCTGCAGATTATACAGTACAAATAAAATGTTCACGTTTGTCCAGCGTTGTCTTCTCAACAGTTTCACTAACATCTACACTGGATGGCCAGGAAGCGTTCACGTCTTCTGGGGTGCTTCACCGGCGCTGATAATTGCCGTCTGTCTTGTGTCAGCAACGTAAAAGACGGATTTAATGCAACATGACCATTCAAACAGCAGTCGCTTTCTCAAACATCAGTTGTGTATCGGATTCAGTACCACATACGAAAGTGACCCAGGTTGGATTTGAAAATATCGGATTTGTGCTGTTCACGCTGTCATACCATGGGTTGCATAGGGTCAGAAAAGTCGGATTTGATGCGATTTCACCTGCAGTGTGAACGTAGCCTTAGTTACTCTGCTCTGGGGGACCCCATCCTTGGGGTGGACCAATTTTTGGCGCAGCGTGTTTTGCGGTTTAAAAGCCACAGAGACACAGTGTTTAGAAAATGCGTCTCAAGTATTTCAATACTCCTGACATGTACGGGATAACTACAGGCTTTCGCTTAGTCAGCAGTTGTCATTCTCTCCTTGATCGGCTGGACCTTTCTTTAGGCGCCTTCCCAGCTTTGACAAATGTCCAGCTGGGATAACCACATTTCCTCAGGGCCTTCTTGATGTGATGTTCTTCTGCTTCCCTGGCCACTGTGTCTGCGGGGATGGTGTTGGCTCTATGTTGTTTATGCTCCAGTGGACGATGAGAGTCAAACCTTAAATACTGATCCGTATGCATAGGTTTACTCCTCAACACTGACTATAAACGAACATGAAAATTAGAAATTACATTTACATCTATGTTAGAAATAACATAAATGTAGCCTTTTATTTTATGCTGAGAGACCATTTTCTTAGCTGTTTATACAGTTAAGGGTCACAGGGTGCTGGAGCCTATCCTAGCTTTCAGAGCCCAAAACAGAATTATCAGTTAACCCAACATGCGTGTGTGTGTGTGCGGGGGGGGGGTGTCATGTATCTCATCTGAAGACAGAAGCTAAGCACAGGTGGGCCTGATTAGTACTTTGATATGAGAACACTTAAGAATACTAGGTAATGTAAGCTGGACGTCTGTTGCTCAGGAGGTAGAGAAGGTCATCTACCAATCAGAAGGCAGAACACTGAACCCCAAGTTGCTCTACAGTACAGTCATTGAAGTGTGAACATTAGACGGTGAATGAGGCATGTTGTATAAGGAGGTTTGAGCGCTAAACTAGAAAAATACTATATAAGAATCAGTTCATTTACAATGAATAATGTCAATGTATTATTTTAACATATTTAGTTCCTTTATGCACAGATGAAAGTCATCATGTATCATAGTTTAATGAGTCATCGTGTGGGTGGCATATTTAGGCTGAAAGGCTACATTGTGACTGAATACCTTCTATCCAGATTAGTGGCTTTTACAGCTGCAAATATGCGTGTCTTCAGGGTCAGTCCTGCCATTGGGATGGACAACTGCTGAATATATGATGAGTCCTGTATAAAAAGCAAATTGTCATTTAAGCATAGATGTGATATTACATGGCTCTTCGCGTCCACCCAACTGACAGTGATTTATTTGCTTTTTAGACATTTATTTTCTAAATAATTCGATGTAGCCCTAGTGTTTAATTCAAGTGGATTTAGGGTAAGAGTAAGAGTAAATTTAGTATACGTTTGTATAATTACAGTATTAGCAATAATTTGCTTTTTACATCAACTGTATAACAAGAATTTCTGGGAATCTGGCATCATTCTTCTTTTGTACATGGACAATTGATGCATACATCTGTAAGAGGTAGAGATCAACTTTACATAGATGCAGAGTTTCTTTATGTTCACTTTATGCATACAAGTATGGCTTTATCTTTGGTGCAACAGACTAAGATCACCTGTACAACACAAATGAACATTTATAACTCACTGTTGTGAACTTACATTATAAAGCAGGAGATTCAATGTGCTAATGAAAGTGCCATTGCTTTCCTTCACTGAGATTGCAGCTGATGACCTACAGTCAAGATAAAGGAAAAAAGAAGTAAGTACCTAAAACATTATGAAAGTTAACAGTAATTATGGTAGTATCAGTATTTTAAAATTGCATTTTTATATTAAAATTTACATAACATTGAGGAATCCTTGTCTTTAAAACCATGCCTATACGTCACTCTTTCAGGTTAACATATACACTTTCCTGACCAAACATTTCCAATATCTCCTTTTAGAAGTTAATATATGTAATCTGAATTGGACTTTTTGTGGGGTCGAGGACCTAAAATCTGAAAATATGTAACAAACTGTGTTTGGGTTGTATTTCATGAAAACAACAACAACAAAAAAAATTCTGTTGTATTGTGTGGAACTTAATAACTTTATATTATAAATTTTCATTATTATTATTAGTATTGCTTTTATTAATATTGTTTTTTTTATTGTTATTATTAACTTATTATTAAACTGCTTCTTTTTTTGTCTGCCAATTGATATAATGATTGAAACTTACATGTATATAGGATCACGGTATCAAACAAGCTTAAAGGTATGAGTGAGACTTACGAGGCCAGCTGTGTATTGTTGACTAGGTATTCCAATGGGTAGCTGCAGCTAAACTTATACAGCAGACCTGGCAGGTAGCTGATGATGGTTGGAGGGTCTGGTGTATCAATATACCCTGATATGTTTCCAATCTGCACCAGGGACAGGTTCCCATAAGCATTGGGTCCTTGAGCAGTTAACACCTGTAAGCAACACCAGTGTGAGTAAAATTCCTGCTCCAGCTCTTTTATTAAGATAAGAAGGGTTGGACATTGTGCAGGATAAAAAGAAAAGTTCTCAAGATCAAGAAAAGCTTGATTGAAGTACACCTCTCTCTCTCTCTCTCTCTCTCTCTCT